TATATATGTAGTATATTATTATATTATTATATATATATATATATATATATATATATATATATATATATATTAGTATCTGTGTGCTCTGGCAATACTCACACTTACATCTATCAGCCATTTCATGATATATATTCCTTTTTACTCATTACTGAACGAACTACGTCGTAGTTATCTTCCGGGCTGATGTATATACATAGACTCCTACATACACATATGAACCTGATTACACAAACAGTGTATACAGGCAGCATATTCCAAAGGTTACTGTGTGCACTACCATACATCTCATACTACATCCGTATCATCTCGGCCATCCGTTTTCTCACCTACTAAAGGGTCTTGATCCCGCACGTGGTATTCCGGATAATCTGAGTTGTAACGAGAATTAAAATACAGCTATGTACTAGTACTAGGATTCTGATTGTAGTGTGTATGTCAACGCTCTGTAATATATATCCGTATACGTTCAAGGTGAGTTTGGCTGTACATCTGGTGCAATGAATAGAGCATGCGCACTAACATACATTTATGTTTATACGTCTACGTTTGTGCTCGATACCACGATAGTCTACTACCTCGCGTGCTTGTCGTGTTCTTCATCTATGTGAAAGTAAATGATATACACCACTGCGTATACTTGATACTATGACTGTCTACAACGTCCACTACTATACCCGCCTTACATATCATTCCATATACATGTACAGTGTACCTCCATAAACGTTTTGTTTCTTATTATATATTTATATACAGTCTGCTGTCATCAACGTTTCGCTTACCACTACGTATTCTATGTGTACTGTACAGTTAAAGTAGCGGACGAAGCCCTGAAGGCGGGTGTGTTGTCGGTGGCGTTTGTGCACCTAGTGCAGCCTATAGAGCAGACCTTCGGATACAATGCCGAAGAAGCGTACAGTCCCAACATTTTATTCTTCTCGACTTATCTTGAGGCCGCCATGCTGGCGTTCAAGGCGAAGCTGGTATGACTCGTCGTTATGTTGCTATGCGCGTATGTACGCTTATGACAGGTAGTTATACATGATACACTGCATGTGCCGATGTCTGTATATCTATATATATGTGTGTGTGTGCGTGTGTGTGTTTGTACACGTGTGTGTATGTGTGTATGTCTGTGTGTGTGTGTGTGTGTGTGTGTGTTGTGTGTGTGTGTGTGTATGTGTGTGTGTGTGTGTGTGTGTATGTATATGTATATGTATGGATATGTGTATGTATGTGTGTGTGTGTGTGTATGTATGTGTATATGTATATGTATATGTATGGATATGTGTATGTATGTGTGTGTATGTGTGTGTGTATATATATGTGTGTGTGTTTCGATCCAATATAGTGCCGATATGCATCCGTTTCCACGCAATTTGCCGTCTATTCCTTCTCTCACCCCACATTCTCAACTGTAGTACATTGATACAAATATCACATTATCTGTTCCGTAGTCCCCGTACACCACTGCTTATTCATTATTAGTAACCGCCTTATACCCCAATCCACATTATTGAATCAAAATATAGTGCATACGCATACGCTGGTGTGGATGGGTTTGTCGCCACTATTCCTTCTCACGTCACCTACTGGTTCTCCACCAGAATATCCAGTCGCAAGAATCACGTATGGACGAATCAGGTTTAGGGTTTTAGGGTTTTAGTAATCTTTTTTTACCGTGCCGCTTGGTATTGTATCCAAATAGATTGGACGTGCAGGTCTAGTTGAGATGCTGCGGGTCTGTACAGCGGAGACTGAGGAACTGCTCGCCAATGCACGTGACAAGCACCCCACCCACTGGCCACCCAGGTTAAAATCCAAGGTATGCGGTTGCCATAGAAACCTAGATCCGTGTAGGTAGACTCGTGAGTGCTAAAGCTCAGAGTACATGTTGCTGTATAGGGTCAAAGTTCATTGTGAATCTAACCAGAATTGTTAAAGTCCAAGGTACTGCGGTTGTCATAGGAACTTAGATCCGTGTAGGTAGACACATGAGTGTTAAAGCCCAAGGTACGTGTTGCTACATTGAATGTAGATACAACCACGAGTGTTGTAGTTCAAGATATGCGTGTGCTATAGACACCTGGATTCGTGCAGAGAGACGCTTGCGTATTTATACGTAGTACCTTCATACCTAGATAGATAGTTATAAGTTTTGGGATGTCCCAGGGTTTTGAGTCACATGGAATGGTAGTTATATGGAACGTCAATCTCAGAGTGGTTGAGGTGGATGTATGCGTGTGGCATGCAACCATACATCCGACTTTGCTTACGTTCTCTGGCGCAGATAAGCTCATGAGTGCTGTTTTGGGCACTCAATTTACCTACGTTGGCACACCCGAGTGTTGGCTTGTTGACGTCAACATGCCACCCTGCATTTAAAGTAAATACACTCCGTGAGCGCTGTCTTTGCAGCTGTTTTGTTATGGGCAAGTTGAGGTTGGAGTGATGGCATATCTTTATTCTTATGCATGAATTGGGGAATGCCTGCTAACGATCT